GTGAACAATATGAAACTCAAGCATTTTGGGTCGATCAATTTAAAGCGCACCTTCGACAAGGAAAACTGGATTGATACAGATTTCTACATTATGGAGCAAGAAGTTGGACCTATTATTTTGGGTCTGCCAAGCCTGAGAGCCCTAGGCATGGTAACAATTCATGAGGCGCGGATGCATCCTCAAACAACCATGGCCGTCCAGTCAGTGGATGATTTAAAGAAATCATACCCGGATCAGTTCGATAAAGTTGGGAATTTCCATGGAAAATACCACATAGTGCTGAAAGAGGGCTCGAAACCAGTTGTTCATGCACAGAGAAAAATTCCTATACATAAAAAGGAAGAACTTCAAAACCAGCTCGAAGACATGGAAAAAAAGGAGTTATCAAAATGGTGTCGGGACCTACATATTGGGTCAACAGCATGGTTTGCACCATGAAGAAGGATGGCAGCGTGCGCGTATGATTAGATCCAAAGGACTTGAACAAAGCCATTAATAGAGGCCATTACAAGACACCTACGCAAAAGGAAATCACACACAAGTTTGCAGACTCAAAAATTTCAGCAAACTTGATGCAAAGAATGGCTATTTGTCAGTCACACTTGACGAAACTAGTTCATTCCTCACTACATTCAACACTCCTTTTGGCCGCTACAGATATCTCAGAATGACTTTTGGCCTGGTGATTTCACAAGATGTTTTCCAGCAAAAACTGGATCAGATCCTTGAAAACTGTCCTGGTACCATTGGCATTGCTGATGTAGTTGTGTTTGGAAAAACTGAAGAGGAGCATGACATAAACCTGCATATACTGTGTATTAGATCGGTATTATATACCAGCGTGGCTCCCACGTGGACACTCGCCCACGCTTGGCGCGCCCCAGGCTACCGAGCCCCAAGCGACACTGCCCTCATCGTCCCGTGGCGTGGCGTGGGCTGCTCGGATACTTAAGGCCTGCGTGTGACCCCGGTCATCAGAGTGTGCCCGCCGCTGTGCTGGCCCAAGGTCAGCGCCTGTCCGCCTCAGGTCAGGGCTGACCACCGGGCCTTTCCGCTAACCTCGCGCTACCCAAGACTGTCTCGTTGTGTTTATCAATCCCTGTGCTGAACTCTTATAGAATAAAGAGAGTAAAGCCACCCAAGCTTTTTACTGTCCTGTCACCATTTAGAGGTTCAACAATAACCCTTCACACTGCATAACCTCCTCAAGATTGCCAAGCAGCAAGGATTAACCTTTAACAGTGCAAAGTGTGTGATCAAGCAGGAACAAGTGAAATTCTTCGGAACTGTTTACGACACGGAAGTCTCTCAGATCCAGACAAGGTATCAGCAATTAAAGCACTGCCGAGCCCAACAAATGTTACAGAGCTGCAACAATTTTTGGGAATGGTCACATATATGTCACCTTTTATCCCAAACCTGGCTGATGAAACTGCACCACTTGGAAGTCTCCTATAAAAAGATGTAGACTTTACATGGTCACCAACCCATGAGAAGGCATTCGAACATATTAAAAATATTCTGTGCACAGATGCAACACTGGTACATTTCAATCCAAACAAACCAATAGTCATACAAGTAGATGCATCACAAAAGGGTATTGGTGCTGCATTAATGCAAAATGACAAGCCTATCGCTTATGCATCCAAGTCTCTGTCTGAAACAGTGCAACGTTATGCCAATATTGAAAGGGAACTACTTGCAGTGGTATTTGGATGTGAAAGATTTCATACTTATGTATACGGCAAAGCATTCCAGGTGGAGAGTGACTACAAACCACTAGAAATTATTCAGCTAAAGAATCTGACAACTGCACCACCCAGACTGCAGCATATGCTGATGAGGCTGCAGCACTATGATGTCACAATCCGGTACAAGCCAGGAAAAGACCTGTTACTAGCAGACGGTCTATCACGCTTGTCATCAACGGACAATCAACATATTGTTCCAGACCTACAGATCAACTTTGTTACATTCAGCAACGAGAAACTAGTCACACTTCAACAGGAAACCTCAAGAGATGTCTTCCTGCATGGACTGAAAGAAGTCATTATACAAGGATGGCCAGAAAAGATGAAAGACCTACCGAGAATGTTGCAACCATACTGGTCCTTCAGAGACGAGCTATCTATTGAAGATGGGCTTGTGATAAAAGGCAGCAGAATCATAATCCCAGTTTCCATGCTGAACCTTGTGCTCGACCCTATCCACGTAGGACACCAAGGCATCACGAAATGCCAACTTCGAGCCAAAGACTGTGTCTACTGGACTTCAATCAACAGGGACATTGAAGATATAGTTCAGCAAGAAACTTCAAGGTCACAAACAAAGGAAACCCTCATCCCGCATGAACTTCCTACACGACCATGGCAGTATGTTGGAACAGACCTTTTCCATTATGGAGAAAATAACTACCTGATTATAGCGGACTACTCAAAGTTTCCAGTTATCAGGAAAATGCCCATGCACGTCACAAGCACAGCTGTGATCAAGGGATTGA